ACACGGCGCCCATCAACCCATCACCATGTGACCGTGGCACCATGGCACCCATCACCATCACCCCGTCACCACGGCACCCATCACCCCATCACCATGTGACCCTGTCACCATGGCACCGCATGACCTCATCACCACGTCACCACGTCACCATGTCACCATGTCACCATGTCACGATGTCACCATGGCACCATGGCACCCCGTGACCTCATCACCACATCACCATGTCACCGTGTCATGATGTCATGACGTCACCATGTCACCATGTTACCATGTCACCATGGCACCCTGTCACCCCGTGACCTCATCACCACGTCACCAAGTCATGATGTCACGATGTCACGATGTCACCCTCGCACCTTGTCACCCCGTGACCTCATCACCATGTCACCATGTCACTGTGTCATGATGTCATGATGTCACCATGCCACCCTGTCACCAGGACACCTCGTGACCTCATCACCATGTCACCATGTCACCGTGTCATGATGTCATGACGTCAGCATGTCACCGTGTCATGGTGTCATGACGTCACCATGTCACCATGGCACCCTGTCACCAGGACACCCCGTGACTTCATCACCACATCACCATGTCACGCCACGTCACCACGTCACCATGTCACCATGTCACCATGTCACGATGTCACCATGGCACCATGGCACCCCATGACCTCATCACCACATCACCACGTCACCATGCCACCATGTCACCCTCGCACCCTGTCACCCCGTGACCTCATCACCATGTCACCAAGTCACCATGTCATCAAGTATGGATGTCACGATGTCACCATGGCACCCTCGCACCCTGTCTCCCCGTGACCTCATCACCACGTCACCACATCACCATGTCACCATGGCACCCTGTCACCAGGACACCCCGTGACCTCGTCACCACGTCACCACGTCAGGATGTCATGACGTCACCACGTCACCACATCACCCTGTCACCCCATCACCGTGTCACCGTGTCACCCTCCCCGTGAGCGCACACCCTCGTGCGACGCACCCCCGCGCCCCCTCACGAGCGTGGGCAGGCCCCTTGCACGTGCGCAAGCCCTGGTGCAAGCACACTCCTGTGCACCCCCTGCCCTCGTGCAATCACACTCCCGTGCCCCAGTACCCCCCAAACCCCATGCACGTGTGCTCCCCCACACCCCCAGTCCTTGTGCAAGCGCACTCCCATGCACAAGTGCCCCCCAGTCCTCGTGCAAGCGCTCCCCTGCTCCCCCAGCACTCGTGCAATCACACCCCTGTGCACCATTACCCCCCAGTCCTCGTGCGAGCGCACTCCTGTGCACCCCCAGCACTCGTGCAATCACACTCCCGCTCACCAGTGCCCCCCAATCCTCGTGTGAGCGCACTCCTGTGCACCCCCAGTACTCGTGCAAGCGCACTCAGGTGCACCAGTGCCCCCCAGCCCTGGTGCACGTGTGCTTCCCTGCACCCCCAGTCCTCGTGCAAGCACACTCCCATGCACCAGTACCCCCCAGTCCTCGTGCAAGCGCTCCCCTGCTCCCCCAGCACTCGTGCAATCACACTCCTGTGCACCATTACCCCCCAGTCCTCGTGCAAGCACACTCCCCTGCACCCCCTGCCCTCGTGCACACTTCCGTGCCTCAGTACCCCCCAGTCCTCGTGC